CTTAAACTCAGGATTATAGGAATGCTTTAATATAAAGATATTTAGGTTATGCAGAAATATTAAAGATAGAAAAGATTTCTCACTTTCTTCACTCATATACCTATCAAATGAACCCTTTTAAGTTATATTCCAGTATAGTTTAGAGGGAAGAAGGGTTTCTGAGAAATGCAGTTGTCTTTGTTGCCAATAAACTTAGGTTTGCGGCTGAGAGTAATGAAGAGAATAGGGTGTGTGTTCACATTTCAAAAATGAGGCAGGCATAGAGTCATTTTCCTTTGATGTCTTAGGGAAGGGAGAAAAATCCCCGATGTAGCACTCTGTCCAAATGATAAACCACAACTAAGTGAGTGAAACATTTACAAAAGTCAAGGCAGTGAAAGGAGCCTCTCTGTTCAATAGCGAGAGTAAGAGATGGATAGGATATAACTAAATAATGGTTGGAGTAACACAATGGTTACAAGTCTCAATTGGTCTCTCTTCTGTTACATTCATTGGAAGATCAGGGCCAAGTATATCCCTCTCCCCCTCCCCCACGTAAACATTAGTTTTGTGTGTGGATCTTTCTGCTTTGTCCTTCACGCGGCCTCCAGGGGTGATAAAGCGAGAGTCATCTGACCTACAATGAAGAGAACTGGGAAATGATTCTTAGCAGACCCAGCTGTTCTGAAAGGCAAAAGCTTAATATATCAGGAGGTCAAACACACAGTGACTGACTTAATGGCATTAAGCACATATCTACCTAACTTAGATTATATGTGAGACCAATCTGCTTTTAACCCTTTGTGTCCTAATGTAGGTTACTTTATAAAATGTTTCGACTTCTATCCTAAGGTTAGTTTTCAATGCTTGAATGATCCTTTCTCATATACCTTTGCTAACATTCTATTGTTAAGGATTGTATCACAAAGTATTCTTAACACTCAGCAGATTACTTTAAAATCTTATTTAAATAATGTTAAGGAAGGCAACTGGATTACTGTTAAGTACCTAAATCATTTATATTAAGAATTTTTAGATGTAACATATTCTATGATTTTCCCCCTACCTTATATTTTGTAACAGCACAAACAATGATACAAAACATAACTACAATATGGATATTTAATGTTTGAAAATAATTTGGAAGGGATCACATCCTCCTCCGTAGTAAGTCTTTTCTTTAAATTCAGGATAGTCTGTGCAGTTTTGCTCAAAAACATTTCATATTTAAAAGTCTGTACTGAAAAATGCATCCTAATATTTTATAAAAGGTACAAAATTTTAAAACTTTGGAAATATTTTTTCTCCATAAGCACAGGAAAAAACTAGAGTACAATATTAAAAGCTCACTCCATGATAGTGACTACACAATAAACTTGTAGATAAATTAAATAACTTTTTTAAAAGGAATTTGTAAATAAACAAACATCTAAGGCTTTAAGGGAAAACTGGTACTTAATTACACTTACCGTTGGATTTAATCTGAGTTTTGAGAAAACGTAAGTATTTTCATATAAGCTTTACTTGGTCTATACACAAATGTCCAAAGTATACAGAAACATATGGGATACAAAGTGTATGTCAAGATCCTTTTTTACATACTGGCTTACATTAAAGGGTCAAAGAGAAATGTATTATTTACATTGAGATTACCTACTGGTGTGTGTAGAAAGTTTAAATTAGCTGCAAGAAATTTTATCTAGACTTGCACCTGCCTCATGCTATGAGCTGGTATTTACTGGGCAGATTAATTACAAACATTTCTTCTGTTCCTTTAAATATGATCAGGCAGATGCAAAAGTTGGTGCTCATAGTAAGTGCATTTCTTCTCAAGGCCTGCAGGATATAAAAGATGATTATTACATCATCACATGTATTTCGTTCATCACTCAAGAAATTACTTAAACATCCATGTAGTGTGGTACCTAGTTTACTTAGATGCTGGCAACCTATTTGCTTATTTTTGAGTCTTCTAAGTGAGATTCACCTTCACAAGTAATTGTCAGTATGACTCTTATGACATAGCATTCCTCACCTTAAGTGCAGACATTTACATGAGAGAATTTTAAAACCCCAACATGAGCTACTGAAAACATCAAATTTACATGCCTTTGTCTATAAGCCTTAAGGGCCTTTCAGCAGGTGTTTTCTCTAACAGCTGCTAAAGGGGGGAAATAGAAATAAATAAAAGCAGTCTTTACCATGACACATTTCCTATTCCAAGTGTATCCCTCTGAGGACTCCTAGTGGTGGCAGAGGTTCTTGTCCATTTGACCTCAGGACTTGGTGGAAAAGAAAGCAGCTATGGGCAACTGAGGGCATGTGGGTGTCCACTCCAGCTCCCTATTCATAAGCGTCCACAGATATTCTCTTCCACTTGCCAGCTTACTTTTGCCAACTCTTGTCTGAGAGTCCAGTCTGCTTTTATAAGGATTTTGAGTGCTCTAGGGTTCACTTAATAAATATCCTCTGGGTTATGTATACAATGATGAGAGTTACTAAGACTACAGAGGAAAGAAAGACTATCATTTATTAAAGAGTTTATAATTATTTTATACACTCTCACAAAGAAAATATTACCAATCCTATTTTATTATCAAAGTTTAGGGGGAACCAAGTTTCTTGTTTAGGTTACACAACTAAGTAGGTAATACAGCTAGTCGTTGAATAGTTAATAATGTACCCCAAATGGCCATAGTAGCTGAGGTTGGGGCCAATCTGAAGCCAGGTGCTTCTTCTGGGTATCCCACATGGGTACAGGGGCACAAGGGCTTGGGCCATCTTCCATTGCTATTCCAGGCCATAAGAGAGCTGGATGGGAAAAGGAGCAGCTGAGACATGAACCAGTGCCCATATGGGATCCCGGTGCCACAGGTGAAGGCTTAACCCACTACGCCACAGTGCTGGCCCCTAGCGACCGTATCACTCTTCTTAAAACATGTTGGATTGTTACTTCCCTAATGGTCTTCAACTGGCTTGCCTCTGCTGAACAAATAAAGTCTGAACATAGCCTGGGACCATCACTGACAATGATGTGGCCCAGGTCTACCTGTCCATCAACTTGCTTCTCTGTCTTCTTAGCTCATGTTGTTCTCTTTATATAGCACATTTTATATTACACATTTTTCAAAATCCAACTTCCTAGTGAAGCATGAAGCTTTCATTACTGGAGTCCGCATGGCTTTCTGACAAACAGTGCACAGTGCAATAACTAGAATTGATTTTAAAATCACAAATCCTGGGGGTGGGTGTTGTGGTGTAATGGGTTAAACTGATGCTTGTGACACCTGCATCCCATGTCATAGTGTCTGGGATGCAGTCCTGCCTCCAGTTCCCATCTAGCTTCCTACTTAAAAACCTGGGAGGCAGCCGGTGATGACCCAAGTACTTAGGTTCCAGCTACCACATGGGGAATATGGATATAGTTGCTGACTCCTGGTTTCAGCCTGTCCCCAGCCCTGGCAGTTGTAGCCATTGGGGGAGTGAGCCAGTGGGTGAAAGCTCTCTTACCTCTGTCACTCTGTCTTTCAAATAAACATTTTAAAAAAGTTATTGGAAACAGGGGCTGGTATTGTGGCTGTAAACTGCTGCCTGTGATGCTGGCATCCCCTTAGGAGCAACATTTCAAATCCCAGCTCTCTGTTAATGCACCTGGGAAAGCAGAGGAAGGTGGCCCAAGTGCTTGGGCCCCCAACACCCATGTGGTAGACCCAGATAGAGTTCCTGGCTCTTGGCTTTGGCCTGACTCAGCCTTGGCTATTGCAGTCATTTGGGGAGTAAACCAGTGGATGGAAGATTCTCTAACTCTGCCTTTCAGATAAGTAAATAAAATTTTTTTTAAAAAAGGTTATTGAAAACAGATTGCTGCTCTTTAAAAACAAATCATAAATCCTTTAAGGACTATCTAATCATCTCAAACTATGTTTGCCATGAATTCCTTTAATATCATTCTTCAATTGGTACTTACTGTAATAGAGAGGAACGTTTAAACTCCTTACACCCAAGAGGAAGGAACTTTTGTCAAGTCTTCCTCTTTACACCCCATAAACGTGTGATAAATTTGGTCAGAGTCCAGAATATTGGTTAGTCTTATATTAGTAATATTTTTATTTACGTATCTATTTTTTTTAACATAGAAACCTTTTATTTAAGGTATGCAAACTTCATGCATTTCATACATGTCTATTTTTAAAAGACATTTGTTTACTCGAAAGGCAGGGTTACAGAGAGAGAAAGACAGAGAGAGACAGAGATCTTCCATCTGCTAGTTCACTCTCCAAATGGCCACAATGGTTGGAGCTGGGCCGGGCTGAAGCCAGGAGCCAGGAGCCTTTTCCAAGGCTCCCACATGGATGCAGTGGCCTAAGGACTTGGGCCATCTTCTGCTGCCTTCCCAGGCACATTAGCAGGAAGCTGGGTTGAGAGTGGAGAAGTATAACAACTAGGACTTGAGCCAAATCCCACATGGGATGCCAACATTGAAGGCGGCAGCTTTACCTATTACACCACAATACTGGTCCCTTTTACTTGTAATATTATAGGTCACTATTTTTACACAACACTTTTTTTTTTAAGTATTTTATTGTGTGGCATGACAGGTTAAGCTACCACCTGCTACCCTGACATCCATGTTGGAGCACTGTTTAGTTCTAGTTGTTTTTTTTTTAATTTTTAAGATTTATTTATTTATTTGAAAGGCAGATTTACAGAGAGGCAGAGGCAGAGAGAGATCTTCCATCCAGTGGTACACTCCCCAAATGGCAGCCACGTCCAGAGATGGGCAGATCAGGAGCTAGGAGCCAGGAGCCTCCTCCATGTTTCCCATGAGGGTGCAGAGGCCCAGGCACTTGGGCCATCCTCTACTACTTTCCCAGACCATGGCAGAGAGCAGGATCGGAAGTGGAGCAGCAGGGTCTCAAATCAGCCACCACATGGGATACCAGCACTGCAGGCAGTGGCCCCACCCACTATGCCATAGCACCCCCCCCCCTTTAAAATTTTATTTCTTTATTTGAGGGGTAGAGTTACAGACAGTGAGAGGGAGAGGGAGAGGGAGAGAGAGAGAGAGAGAAAGGTCTTCCACCTACTGGTTCACTCCTCAAATAGCTGCAATGGCCAGAGCTGGGCCAATTCAAAGCCAGATACCAGGAGCCTCTTCCTGGTCTCCCACATGGGTGCAGGGCCCCAAGGACTTGGGCCATCTTCTACTGCTTTCCCAGGCCAAAGCAGAGAGCTGGATCAAAAGGGGAGCAGCCAGAGCTGGAACCAGTGCCGATATGGATGCCAGCACCACAGGCAGAGGATTAATCTACTGTGCCACAGCACCGGCTCCTATATAACACTCTTAAGCACCATGAGGTTTCCCCACCACTGCCTACTCTCAAGGACACCTGACTTGTGCTTCCTGATGTCATGTGGTTGGGAGACTGTCCACTCTGTCATGAAGACCTACAAACATGTCAGGCAGGCCTATGGTCTTCACAGCTTTTAGAGGCATGTGTATGCTGGAGCCCTTTTCAAAAACTTCAGCTCAGGTTTAGGAAAGCAGAGTTCATGAATTAGATTCAGTGTGGGACTGAAAAGATTCCAATTCTGCTTGAAGGTGCAACAAGGCAAGCTAGCAGAGGGCTTGCCATGTTGCAGGTTATCAATTCTAATGCTATCTACTAATCTTGTTACCTCCTCACTGGCTTCACAGTTCTTGTCTGTACTTCTAATGGCCAGAACCCTTGAACTGAAGTCTGAACTTGTATCACCTATCATAGCTTGCCTCACCTTATTACTGTTTCATGTGTCTTTTTGTCCTTAACTTGGTTATTCAGTTGCAAAGGTTGTTATACATAGAATTTTGTTCACTAAGCCTCAGAGTTTTGTTAACCAAGTGACTTATCTACCTTATTACTAAAGTGTCCCAACATATTCTGTCAACATGAGTCAAAATCATGCTTTTTCTCTTCCTCTCCCTTACGGTTCTTTGCCTTTGCCTGTGACCCCTGAGTTGTTGTCTCCGCTGCTCTCTTGTAACACTGCTTCATAAAGGCTACACTTTTAAAGGCTCTGGGAGTGACTCTGTGTGGGGCAGCTCTCCTCACTGAACAGTTACAGGGGAAGAGTAATCATGGAGTGCAAGGGAGAACTGGAGCTGCTGTGTGGGAAAGTTGGCCACAGTGGTATCAGGAGGTCTATGTGTGTCTCAGGCTTCTGGGGGCACAGAACACAATCAGGGAGTTTAACACTTATAGGAGTTCAGCCTAATATAACTGCAGGCATCTTGGTCATAACTGTCACCCCAACCCCTACGAGGTAAACAGTGAAGTCATTAAGATAGCCTGCTGCCCTGTTGTCTGGAATATTAGTACTTCTTGAGAAAGTCCAAGTGTATGTTGGTTAGTCACAGGCCATGTTTTTCTTTTTATTTTTTATTTAGTAAATATAAATTTCCAAAGTACAGTTTATGGATTACATTGGCTCCCCCCTCCCCCATAATTTCCCTCCCACTCGCACCCCTCCCATCTCCCGCTCCCTCTCCCATTCCATTCACATCAAGATTCATTTTCAATTATCTTTATATACAGAAGATCGATTCAGTATATATTAAGTGAAGATTTCATCAGTTTGCACCCACACAGAAACACAAAGTGTAAAATACTATTTCAGTACTAGTTATAGCATTACTTCACATTGGACAACACATTAAGGACAGATCCCACTTGAGAAGTAAATACACAGTGACTCCTGTTATTGACTTAACAATTTGACACTCTTGTTTATGGCATCAGTAATCTCCCTAGGCTCTAGTCATGAGTTGCCAAGGCTATGGAAACCTTTTGGGTTTGCCGACTTCGATCTTATTCCGACAGGGTCATAGTCAAAGTGGAAGTTCTCTCCTCCCTTCAGACAAAGGCACCTCCTTCTTTGATGGCCCCGTTCTTTCCACTGGGATCTCACTCGCAGAGATCATTCATTTAGGTCTTTTTTTTTTTCTTCCCAGAGTGTCTTGGCTTTCCATGCCTAAAATACTCTCATGGGCTCTTCAGCCAGATCTGAATGCCTTAAGGGCTGATTCTGAGGCCAGAGTGCTATTTAGGGCATCTGCCATTCTATAAGTCTGCTGTGTATACAGGCCATGTTTTTCTATAAAACCTTTTTCTTCTGTCCCATAGGACAAGGATCCATTGTCTTTAGGTCACGTGAGCCTATACTTCTGTCCGTAAGTCCCCCAATAAATTATATTCTATAATCTTGGGTTTGTCTACCTCTTTCTTTGTTCTCACAGTACCTTCCATTTTTGGCAGCCAATTCTTGTATACTGGGCTTCCCCACAATGACAATTTCCCTCCCCTATTCATACCAGTAGAGCAGCTATGACAAAGGCACAAGAGAGAAGCTGTGACAGAACATGGATGGAGGAGAGGGATCTCGGGAAGCCTAGAACAAGGCATGTTATAAACAGGTTTTGAAAGACTGGTAAGATTTTGATCATAGTGAGGGAAAATGAATGCTAGGCAGAGGAGACAAGAACAAGTTAGGGAAGTTAAAAAGGAACTTGCTGGGGGAGCGAGTCTAGGAAATGGCAAGTAATCTAGAGTTCACGAGGCACAAGGGAGACACTGGGGAGGTAAACTGTGGTCAGATCATCAACAGTCCTAATATCAGTCTAAATTTGGATTTTATTATGGATATGGTGGGGTGATATATTCTAAAGCATAGATTTTGCCCAGTAGCAGGACAGGCTGTAGGGGAAAGGGGCTAGAGGACAGAGAGGTAGGTTTCTATGGGGAAAACAGTAATCTAGATGACAGTTAATAGAGGGATAAACTAGTCCATTTTAAGAAGTGATCTGATCTGGTACCTGTTTGGATATGAGGACAAAAAGAGAGGCTTTTGAGCTGATCAATGGGATGACAGAATTCCTAGAAAGGTAGAAGGAAGAACAATTTGAAGGGGAAATAATTAAAATATCTGGGGTCATTGTATGGTGACAAACGATTTATAGCTCGAAAGGAAGGTCACAGATAGATATGGAAATCACATAAAGAAAGGTAAAAGCGAAAGTCAAGGGAACGGATGAGATTATGAAGAAAGTACCTCAAGTAAAAAAGGAAACATATCAAAGCACAAACTAGAAAAATGCCTCAAAGGTGAAGTTGTTATATTTTACTGTGATCTCTCTCAATGGTTTCTCATTAGAAGGGAACCTTGGGGTGTGCACTGTGCTATGGGAGGTTAGGCCACCACTTGGGACACATGTACCCTGTATAGAAGTGCCAGTTTTGAGTCTCTGGCTGCTCTTTTTCTGATCCAACTTCCTGCTAATGCACCTGGGAAGTCAGCACATGATAGCTTAAGTTCTTGGGTCCCTGCCACCCATCTGGGTGACCTGGATGGAGTTTTAGACTCCTGTCTTCGACCTGGCCCAGCCCCAGGTTTTAGGTGCATTTACGGAAATGAACCAGCAGATGGAAGATTTTTGTCACTGTGCTTCTCAATAAATAATAAATCTTTTTAAAAAGGGGGGATTTTAGTTAATTCTTCTAAGTTTTCTGAAAGTACTACTCAAATTAAAGGCTAGGCCGGTGCCGCAGCTCACTAGGCTAATCCTCCGCCTGCGGTGCCGGCACCCCAGGTTCTAGTCCTGGTTGGGGCGCCGGATTCTGTCCCAGTTGCCCCTCTTCCAGTCCAACTCTCTGCTGTGGCCCAGGAAGGCAGTGGAGGATGGCCCAAGTGCTTGGGCCCTGCACCCACATGGAAGACCAGGAAGAGGCACCTGGCTCCTGGCTTCGGATCGGTACAATGCGCCAGCCGTAGTGGCCATTTGGGGGGTGAACCAATGGAAAAAGAAGACCTTTCTCTCTGTCTCTCTCTCTCACTGTCCACTCTGCCTGTCAAAAAAAAAAAAAAAAAAAAAATTAAAGGCTCGAAAGAACACTCCTGGAGCAGGGTATTTGTGAAAGAACACTCCTGGAGCAGGTATTGTGGTACAGTGTGTTAGGCCACTGCCTGGAACTTCCACATCTTATATTGCTGTGCCCAGGATCGAATCCTGCCTCTGCTTTCAAAACAGCATCCTGCTAATGCACTGGGAGGCTGAAGATGATGGCCGAAGTTCCTCAGTTCCTGCCACCCACCTGGAGATCCAGATGGAGTTCCTGGCTCTTTGCTTCAGACTGGCCAAGCCCTGGCTATTGTGGGAATTTGTGGAGTGAACCAGCAGATGGATGATTCTCTTTCGCCCTCCCCGGCTTTTCAAATAAACAAATAAATAATTTTTAAAAAAAAAACTCTAAAATGTGATGCTCTTTTCTAGAATCCATGAACAAAAAGCTATTATCAGTACTCTTAAATTCCCCAAAAGTTTATCAATGAATCTACCATGCACTAAATCTATGTATTCAGTTGCTAAATGTTTAACTGAATATGTATCTGTGATCACCAATATAAGAGTTCTCTGTTGGATTTTCATGGGTCTTAAGTTTTATTACATGTTTAATCCTATAATGAATGTGTGTACATATATTATATAGTACATTCTCACTTAATAGGAAAGAAAATCCTTGACCAGTAGTGAAACCTGCCATTCTCAGATTACTACTGTGTAGCAGTCAAGAGCATAAGCTCCAGTCCAGACTACTCAGCTTACACTCCTGGCTTTCTCCTGGGACAAGGAATTTAACTTCTTTGTGCCTCCGTTTCTTCCTTATCAAGATTAAAAGGAGTAAATATGAAGTACTTAAAACACAGACTGGGACATAAAAGATGTTCAATAATTATTAGCTATTATGATAAACTACTATTTTTTATGTATAACAGAACATTTTAATTAAAGTGACATAGTTTTCTTTCTGTATGTTTGCAAATATTTTAAGAACAGCTAGTTTGTAAGGAAGCTAATACTAATCACTTGAGATACCAGTTCCAAAAAAATATATTTTGAGGTAGAATATAATTCTTTCATTTAGCTTTAATGTTTTTTTCAAAGAGATATCAAGCAGAATCTGCTTTGCTTCTAAGAATCTTAATATTGATGCCACTAAGGCTGAGATAATGCCAGTTCTTAATGTGAACCTTCAGTAAAATCACATCATGATTCAAACTGTTTCTAGTTTATATGTATATAATAAGCTATTTGTAAACAAATCATTTTCACTTATATAGCTGAATCAATAGGAATTATTTTGATAGAAAGGTATAACTAATTGATATCTAATTATTTACTTAATCAATTTAGCACTTTTCCAAATTTAACAGACTTGTTATGTCTTGTTCAATTAGATGTGTCCTACAGAAACCATACCCTACTTGTCAGTAGCTCTCTAGCTATTTGGATGGTACTCAATTAAGGGCTCTCTTCATCCTCAGTTGAAATGTACTCTTCTGACTTTCAAAGCTAGCCTCATCAGTTCAACAGTGTTCTTTTTCAATTAGCCTCTAACGCAGATTTTGTCAGACTTCCCGCCAGTTTATAAGAATAGATTGAACAGAATTTCTAATGGAGCTTCAAAGCTCATGTCCCTTTTTGTTTTATAGAAATTCAGTACTCAGTACTAAATCTGATAATATAAATAAAATGTTCTGCACATGAACAAAAACAATGAAATTTAACAAGGTTAAACTGAATTAGAAAGATTTGAAATAGTACCTCAGTTTAAAGCAGCTTTAAGAAATTCATAGCTGTCCAGACAACGTAATTCTGTATGAAAGAAAAAGACTTTTTTTTCAAAAAGTTCAAATAACTTGTCACAGTGTATGTTATATAATAAATGCTGAATCAAAATGAAATTAAAATAATATACAGTTTTATTTTACATTATAAATAGCAGTTTTGGGGCTATAAATTTTTGTTTCAATACTCACCAATTAGGCTGATTCTATTTCAAAATGTATAGTTGAAAATTTACTATGAAAATGGCAAAGACATTTGTTATCATAATGTATGTTAGTACCACTGTTAGTATACTCTTTGTGCTCTACTGAAATTGTTTGTGTTGGATTCTGTCCTCCTGAGGGCAAGACTGTGTCTGTCTTGTTTGTTGGTATATTCCCAAGACCAGAACAATGCCTGGCTCACAGTAAATATTTAATAAACATTAAGTTAATAAGGTATGTAAAGAAGTAACCATATTTGAAATATTTGAAAATATTTAGATAAATCTTTAAGACATTTTTAGAGTGGTCACTTGTTTGTTGTTCACACATTCCCTGTACTGCACTTTGGCCGTTCTATCCAGGTTGGGCCATGGCACAAAGACAGCACTTTTTTTGGCCAAAGAACAGCCCAGAAAGATCCTTATTCCAAAGGATCACAAAGCACTACAACATGATGCATTTACAAATATTCAGACGAGTGCTGTGTAAGCCTAGAAGAGGAAGCTATTTAGCTTTACTTAGGAGCCCTGGAGATGGCTTCATAGCTGACCTTAAAGGATGAGCAGGAGTTGTCAGAGAAGGAAAAAAGAGCAGCCCAGGAAGAAAGAAAAGTGGTAAATGGAGTCCTGAAAGAGAGATTCCAGAGGACTGAATCATATGATATGAATAGCATGACCATTCTCCTATCTGAGGTCTGAGCTGGAGGAAGTCACCTAATATTTACATATTACACAAGTCTTGCTTTTAACTACTTAGCTATATACTATTATTAATACCTGCTTTATTTCAATGTGTGTTTAAAATATGTAAACCACTTATATAGGGAATTTCTTTTTTTTGTGGAGCTCTTTTGATTACTCCAAGGGTAAAATGGAAAAAAAATTCACCTGTCAGGTGACATAAAACCAATTTCTCCTAAGTGTGCCAGAATAATTTTTCTTCACCTCTAGAACAGCTCGTCTTCAGTCTATTCATTACTGTCTTTTTATAGTATTTTTATTTAATAAAACCTATTAAGACTACCATACAAATCTCTTTACTTATGCTTTTATCTTTTAACTGATCAATTTTTATATTGCTGACATCCCTTCTTCACCATTTGCTCATTTAAAAATTCATAGTATGGGAGATATGTCTCTGGGGGAAATGTCTATAAAATTTGTTACAGCTGGCAAATGTGTATGAGTCAGTGATAGCACATGACTAAATGCTTCACAGAAAATAAAATTTGTTTCTGTAGTAAGCAGAACTGTTTAAATGTTATTTATTTTTATGTTTCAAAGAAAATATATTGTGAAGTGCTGCATTGATTTAATACGCAACAATGTCTGTGTACACGCTGTAGAAGGAAAATTTATGAAACCTTTGCACAACTCCTTTAATTGAATTTTCCAAATCTCTCACCACACACAAATAATCAATATCTTCTGCAGAGAAAACCAGTCAGAATTATTACAGTCTTTCTTTTCAATTTTGTTGTCATCAGCACATACAGAGCACCTGGATATTTGTAATGTCTGAAGGCAAGTTATTTACACCTCTTAAGCACATAATTGCTATTAAGTGAGCCAAATCTAGTTTTAAAATTTTTTTACTGATATTATTTAAAAGAAAAATTATCATACTTCTAGCAAGTATAAAAAATTTTAAATCATAGAAAAAGTTTAAAAGCCTTTGAAAAAATAATAAACTATTTTGTTTCTCCTTAAATCCTAGACAAATCCCAAGTAAGCATTTTCAGCAGTCGAAATGTATCCCCCCAGTGATGAACAGTACAAAACAAGAGTACTAAATTTATTAGTAGGAAAGGTATGACCAGGTACACAGCAAACATGACAGCTGAATCCTTAAAAAGAGCTCGGGGACTCAGCTGTACATTAATGTATATTTGCGCTACCAAAATTAATAGCTCCATTTTTTAATCTCCAGATAAACCCAGAATGTTAAAGCTAGGGGGAATTCTTGTTGTTTCCTGTAAAACTCATCATGTCTAAACTTCAAACCTCAGTGCTTTTAAAACTGAAGTATCTGTCTGAAAAAAGCCACTGCTTAATGTTAAGATATAATAGAAAAAGCTAAGAGGGTAGCAGTCTTCTGGGAGTAAAGTTATTTTGCTGATATGATGAATACTTTTTCAAGACTGAGGGTGGGGAAGGACAACATATTTTTATGCTTAAAAAATACTTCAGTGGGTGGTAGAATGAATAGGCAATAACAAAGTATTTTATGTTTTAGAACAGAAGGAGTTTAAAATTTGCACTGCAGTCTAAGAATCTGATAATTCTGAAATCCTATAACAAAGATGAATTTTATAAGAATAAAGTTAACTAAACAAATAGGAACATTATAATTATGCTTTTTTATAAAGACTGAACTAGAAATTTTAAAATATTTTCTATTACAAACAGCTGAAACAACTTTTTTGAACAATGTAAAGTTCAGATGGTTACATTTCATTTAAAATATGCATACTGCAACCTACACAATTATTCTCAAAAAAGATAAAATATGTTTTGGACTGAAGCTAAGTGTCCAGATTTCATATCTTGGCAACTGCTCTACAATTTGCTTACATTCTTTTCAAAAACATTTTGTTTACTGGAAGAACTAGTCATAGACAAACAATGATGGTATTTTTAAATGTCCCCAGGAAAAAAATGAAAATAATAAGTACTACATAATACCATCTATTGACCAAAGAATATCTGTATCAAGTTGTTTAAAGTAGAGGTTGATTATGTAAAGTAAATAAATTTCATGCTTTGCCATGTGATGACAATGTGACATTCCATCTGTATTAACCCACTGAATGGTCATATGTTTTAAATCTTCAGCAGAACAAATTTAAAATAATTGTGAAAATTCACACTAAATTCTACCAGAAAAAGAATTTTCCACTTCATTATTTTCCTAGCAGTCAGAAAGCTGATTTTAAGGAAAATGAAGTTAGATTTACTTCCTAGATAACTTTTTTTAATAACTTTTTTTAAGTAAATAACTTTAAATTTACTTCCTAAAGAGAGAAGCCTTCATTTGTTCAAGATATTCTCTTTGATTCATATATTCTATGAGGGTATTTCATGATATATACAAGGTCCAGTTCTTCTAAAAACCAAGATGGTCTGTTTAAAGCACTAGAGTGTTACTTTTACAATTGTACTCATCTGCCTGTAATCAAGACTGCAACAGTTATTAACAAAGGAAACTAGCACTGAAATGAAAAAAAAAAACAAAACAGACATAAGAGACCAACTTGAAGGGGCAATGAGGGCAACGACAGCATAAATATTGCAATTCGGTTGGTATTATCTTTTTTTCCACTTGATGCCCCCTTCTATAGCTGTCAGAGGGCTATTCTTTTTTTTTTTTTTTTTTTAATTTATTTCTTTAAGAGGTAGAGTTACAGACAGAGTGAGGGAGAGACAGGGAAAATGGTCTTCCATCTGCTGGTTCATTCCCCAAATAGCCACAACAGCTGGATATGGGCCAATCCAAAACCAGGAGCCAGGAGCTTCTTCCAGATTTCCCACATGGGTGCAGGGGCCCAAGTACTTGGACCATCTTCCACTGCTTTCCCAGGCCATAAGCAGAGAGCTGGATCAGAAGAGGAGGAGCAGCTTGACACGAACTGGCGCCCTTATGGGATAACAGCACTGCAGGCGGAAGCTTAGCCTACTATGCCACAGCACCAGCCTTAGTATTGTGTATTTTAAAGGTCTCGGGAAACTTTTACAAGGATCTGAGAGACAACCCGCCCCCCCCCCCCAGAAAAAAACAAAAAAAAGAATCCAAAGGACAGTCTTTTGATAGTGCAACATGCATTTAGCTTACTCTTTTTCCTGATTATGTAAATGAAGCAAATACAATATATACTTTAGGACTTATTTACATTTCATATGATTTCTAATATTATGAAGATTACTAAAACATTTTGAAATTAAATAGTACTTCACAGTAACACAGTTAAAAAGTAAATTAGAAGGCCGGCGCCGCGGCTCACTAGGCTAATCCTCCGCCTAGCGGCGCTGGCACACCGGGTTCTAGTCCCGGTCGGGGCGCCGGATTCTGTCCCGGTTGCCCCTCTTCCAGGCCAGCCCTCTGCTGTGGCCAGGGAGTGCAGTGGAGGATGGCCCAGGTGCTTGGGCCCTGCACCCCATGGGAGACCAGGAAAAGCACCTGGCTCCTGGCTCCTGCCATCGGATCAGCGCGGTGCGCCGGGCGCAGCGCGCCGGCCGCGGCGGCCATTCGAGGGTGAACCAACGGCAAAGGAAGACCTTTCTCTCTGTCTCTCTCTCTCACTGTCCACTCTGCCTGTCAAAGACAGAGAGAGAAGAGTAATTAGAATTTCTATAGAAGGCTGAAGGTCAGGGGCAGATGCTTAGCCTCACGGTTAAGATCATGTCCTTCAGCAGGGTATCTAGGCATTCAACTCTGGCTCCTGGCTCTAGTTTCTTGCTAATACAAAACCTGGGAAGCATCAGTAACGGCTCAAGTAATTGGTTTCCTGTCATCCATTTGGAAGTCCTGCAGTTGAGTTCCCAACTTCCAGCTTTACCTGGGCTTAGTAGCCCTGGTAGTTATCGCCATTTAAGGAATCAATCAGTACATGGAAGTTCTCTCTTTCTCTGTGCTTCTCAAAGACGTGAAAATAAAAGTCACATCTCAAAATAAGGAACACACAAAGAAAATCAGTTTGACATTAAAAAAAAAACAAAAAAAAAACAGAAAACAAAAACCAAAGTCCTCTTAAAAAATGTGGTGCAGCAGGTTAAGGTCCCAGCCTGCAGTGCTGGCATCCCCTATAGCTGCTGGTTCTAGTCCCAGCTGCTCCACTTCTGATCCAGCTCCCTGCTAATGTGCCAGGGAAAGCAGTAGAGGATGGCCCAAGTCCTTGGGCCCTTGCATCCATGTGGGAGATCCAGAAGAAGCTCCTGGCTTCTGACTTTGGATCAGCTCAGCTCCGGCTGTTGCAGCAATTTGGAGAGTGAACCAGTAGATGGACAACCTCTCTTTGTCTCTACCTCTCTCTGTTAACTCTTTCAAATAAATAAATTAATTAAAAAAGATGCTGTGTGATATGCTGGCATTCCATATGGGTATTGTTTCAAGTTCCAGTTGCTCCACTTCCAATCCAGCTCTCTGCTAATACATTCGGAAGATGGCCCAAGGGTTTGGGCCCCTGCCACCCATGTAGGAGACCCGGAAGAAGCTCCTAGCTCCAGGCTTAGATTTGGCCCTTGCCATTTGGGGAGTGAACTAATGGATGGAAGATCTCTCTCCTCTTCTCTTTCTCTCTCCTGCAGTGTTGCTGTAAAGATTTGCTGGTTCTATTACTGGGAATATAGTAATTACTGGTACTCAATAAATGGCAGTCATTGGTGTGGAAGGCTGCCCAACGCACTTGGTGGACTGGGAAACTCCCTAAGCTAAGGGCAGTGCAGGCAGAAATGCAGATTACCTGGCTGGGAAAACCTGTTGGGATTACAGGAAAACTCATCCTAAGAAGATGGCTACAGTTACAAGTATACTCCTCAGATTATAATCTATTTTGTAGTGGCAGTTAGTCTGCCCACTGCTCCCTTTTACTGTTTAGCAGCAGCCAGCTACCTTCTAGCTTTACTGCCCACCCACTCTCTTACAATGTGTTCAATAAATCTAACTGCTCACTCTATCTGACTGCTCTGATGAATTCTTTCACCACCTACAATGCCAACCTCAATTGGTTGCTTTCTGTGACAACTGGTACTAAAAATTGTTAGACTAAAACATGGCCTAACTCCACTTGCAGAGACTGCTAAATGGCATCTATGTCAGTAATAATAAAATGATCACTCTTTTTTTTAAAGATTTATTTATTTTATTTGAAAGGCAGAGTTACAGAAAGGCAGAGGCAGAGAGAGAGAGAGAAGTCTTTCATCCACTGGTTCACTCTCCAGATGGCCACACCAGCTGGAGCTGAGCCAATCCGAAGCCAGGAACCAGGAGACTCCTCTGGGTCTCCCATGTGGGTGCAGTAGCCCAAGGACTTGGACCATCTTCTACTGCTTTCCCAGACCATAGCAGAGAGCTTGTTTGGAAGTGGAGCAGCCAGGACTCGAACTGGTGCCCATTTGGGATGCCAGCACTACAGGCAGTGGCTTTACCCGCTGTGCCACAGCGCTGGCCCCCAAAATGGTCACTCTTAAATTAGTCTGAAAGTTTTGATATTTTATAGTTTGTAATTATTTTGCTTACTGAGGTATGAATGTGTATTTCCTATGATAACTTAAAAATACTGTGAAATATGGGGCTGGTGCTTTGGTGTAGCAGGTAAAAGCCGCTGCCTGCAGTGCTGGCATCCCATATCTGCGTTGGTTCAACTACCAGATGCTTCATTTCTGATCTAGCTCTCTGCTATGGCCTGGGAAAGCAGTAGAATATGGTCCAAGTCCTTGGGCCCCTGTACTAGCATGGGAGACCTGGAAGAGGCTCCTGGATCCTGGCTTCAGATCAGCCCAGCTCCAGCCATTGCAGCTGATGATTTCTCAAACTTAGATAGCATTGTCATGAATCTCTCTCTCTGCCTCTGCCTCTCTGATAAATAAATAAATAAATCTTTAAAAAAATTCTGTGAAATGTTCAGAGGCATAGTCACAGATACAATGTCATCAATGATTTGAAAGATTCCAGAACTAATATGCCCTTTAAATGTGCCTGAAAAGCTGGTATATTAATACACTGCTGTTCCTATTTGTCCGTGTTCTCAAATAGAAATTTAACAAAAGACTACAAAATTTAAATCTTAATCTGAAAATTCTATTTCAAAAGGCATTGAAAAAGCTCAATCATCAGGAAAGCTTATCTCATCAGACAGGGTCTTCTGCTAAACTCATGTAAGATTTTTGAAATGAGACTCACATCTTCAAAAATATACTGAAAAGCACTCACGGTTGGTGCTTAACTGCTGAAATCAAAATATTTCCTATGTAATAAATTAAAATATACCTCTTTACCTTTGTGAGGAAGTCTTGAATTCTTCTTTTCTAATCGTTTTTGTTTTGTTACTTTTATCACTAAAAGGAAAAAAAATCTCATGTTAAGAATTAACATGGAATATGAAAAATTTCTCATTACTTGGAAGAAATAACTATGAAAAAATAATTCAAAGCAATACACATTTGTAGGTATCAAGTATAAAATGCAGTATCTTACTTTAAAATGAGCACTACATTAAAAAAGCCAATAGCCATTTTAAGGTACATTCTTTTCCTTCACATTAAAGAGGAATTCCCAAAATAACATACCCTGGTGCAAGATACATGGCAACAGTTTTTCTGTCTATGCCCAGTAGTGCTTTATATGAAAAAGTCTATCAGATTTAAAATTGATAAAAATTAGTAAGTTTATCTTTAAAACTAATACAATTGACAACTCACAAATTTCTTCTTACTTAGTTCTTTGGTTTTTTCCATTTCTCTTTTTAAGAAGCAGGATGCATAGGAGATACCAATGAGATTTTCGAGCTCTCTATTGCCTTTTAAAGCCTGGAAGAAAACCATCTTAGATGAGTTAAATAAGTTCTCTATAAAGTTAAGATTTCCAAGAAGTCTAGAGAAAACAAGTACATCGTTTTCTTCATTTGAAAAACTTAAACTCTGTGTTAGCAGATTTGACTTTTTGTAGTAGGTCAACTATTACAAGTCCTCAAATGCCTGGATAAAACAATTTATTACTAATTGAAAACACTAAACAGAATCTACAAATTTACTTTTAAATGTAAGAAAGCCAGCTATTACTAAACTATTATGGTTATATGATATTCATAAAAGAAAAAAATTTCCATGAAAAGAAAATTAAACTTCTACCAACTCTCAGCTGGTCTGTATTCTCCAATCTAGGGCTTCTTTCCTTACTATCCTTTTTTAATGGAGCAGTAAAGTATGAAAATTATATTTGAAAAAAAGCAAACCTGTATACTGTTTAAATTCTGCATTATCTCCATGATTTTGTCTGATGATTTCTCAACTTTAGATAGCATTGTCATGAATCTAGAAATAAATGACAAAAAATACTTAGCAAGTATAAGCATCTAAACACAGCCAAGTCATTTTCAGAACTTTGCTCCTCCTTCATTCTTTCCTTCCTTTATAAGTACAATATACAGTATTATCAACTATACTCTCAGAGTTTCACTTTCTCTCATTCTCACTGAGTAGTAGTAAGGAAGATGGAGATGACTTGTCCCCACCTGGAGAACACTAATAGTCCCAATTTTACCTTGATTTGAGCCAGGGAAGGAATCCAGGTACTCTGACACTGGACTTGGACATCTTAACTGCTAATTTAGAAGCCTACCCCTCCAGCATGTACTTTACACTCACAGAACACTGTATTTCAAACAAGGCACATTTTAAGTGCTCAAGAGCCATGTGTGGCTGCTAACTATTGTTTCAGACAGCACAAATCTAATATATCAATTTTAAGAGCAAAACCATAAATTCTATTTAAATGATTTTCAAGATCATGTCTGTGCTACCTATTAGTATTTTTGTTATTAAAAATAAGGCAAATATGTTGGAATTTTCTTATATAAGGTACATATAGTCTGTTTCATGTGAGTCAAATATGTATCAGAGGGGTGGGTGTTGTGGTACAGCAGGTTGAGCTATTGCCTGGGACACAGTCTTGTCTCTACTTCCAATCTAACTTCCTGCTAATGTGCCTGGAAGGCAAGAGAAGATGACCCAAGTACTTGGGTCCCTGTCATCCATGTGTGAGACCCAGATGGAGTTCTTGGCTCCTGGGTTTAGCCTGGCTGAATCCCAGCTGTTTCAGACATTTGGGGGGTGAACCAGTGGATGAAAGATCTCTCTCACTCTGTTTTTCAAATAAACTTAAAAAAACTGAGTATGCAAAAAAGAAATAGACTTGAAGCTTATTAAAAAGTAGAAGACAGTGGAATTATGGGTGATATTTTACTTTTAAAAGTATCCTGTATTGTATATTAAAAGTCATCTGTATAAGGCCCCAATTCTCAAATAGAAGTTATGTTCCAGACATGGTGTAAAAGAAATTCTTCCCATGGGGCTGGCACTGTGGCACCAGCATCCCGTATGGGCAACGGTTTGTATCCTGGCTGCTCTTCTTCCAATCCAGCTCTTTGCTATAGCTTGGGAAAACAGTAGAAGATGGCACAAGTGCTTGAGCTCCTAACCTGTGTGGGAGACCTGGAGGAAGCATCTGGCTCCTGACTTCAGATTGGACCAGCTCTGGCCGTTGCAACCATTTGGGGAGTGAACCAGTGGATGGAAGACCTTTCTTTCCCTCTGTTTATAGCTCTACCTCTCAATTAAATAAATCTTTAAAAAAAAAATTCCTTCCCCCTTCAAAAGCCTTGATGGCAACCAAATTCATGGAATAGTTTTATAACTATTATCCAACTGTTATATTCTAAGAAATTCGTAAAGTGCATTCCTTTTTCATACCTTCTTGGAGATAACTGCTTACTGGGCAGATTTGGTGAGTTGTCTGCCACTCTCCTTCGTTCTAGACAAAATAGCAATTCTCAAACATACTGAATCCTACTTATACTGAAAATAGGATTTTCATTGCTACTAAAAGGCTTTTTTCTGAATTTTCCATGCAAGTTCAAATTTACTTTGTTGCCTTAGAATGGTATTATTGTTTGCTTAGAGTCCCCAGTCTTCAATATCATCTTGATGTTCCTTCATTAATTTATTTCTCAAAACTAACAATCTTTTATTTCTTTTAAGCTGCATGAGTACAGTTCCCAAGCTTATTATGGCATAAAATTTCAAAATTATTGCTATTCTCCCTTTCAATTTGGTGAGTAAAACCATTTGTGAGTACCATTCATTTCTTACAGAACACTATTCCTTTCTCTTAAATAGATTTAGACTAAATTGGATCAAATCCTTCATCCTATTGCAATGATTCTTTGAACCACTCAGAAATTGTGAGGTACTTTATCAGAAATCTAGTGACTCTTGCCAGTTTCATGGCACCCTTATTTGATCAAATCCTGCACTGTGGCCAAAGACTACTGTAGCATAACTTGAGAAAACTGAAATCTTGGTCCTGTTTAAATTAAACTTTTTCCTTGTTTATCAGTAGAACAAATATTCAGCTATTTTTTAAACACCGATTAATTTTAAAGTGTCTGGATTGATCCTCTAAAATATATTAATTTATTTTTAAATTAGGTTCTCTTTTAAAAATGTTGATTTTATTTTCATCTACTTGAATGTTAAAGTGAGAGTCAGAGAAACAGTGAGAGAGAGACATGTATCTTCTATCTGCTGGTTCAAATGGCTCCAACTGCCGGGGCTGGATCAGGCCAAAACAGGAAGCCAAAAACTCCATCTGGGTCTTCCACATGAATGACAGAGGCTCAAGTGCTTAGGTCATCATCTCTTGCCTCCCAGGCACAACAGCAGGAAGCTGGATTGGAAGTGGTGTAGCTGGTACATGAACTGGGCCAGCATTCCGATATAGGATGGCAGCATTACAAGAGCAACTAACCCTGCTGCATCACAATGCCAACCTTCCTAAGATACTTCAACAGAGAAACTGTAATTCAACTGGTCTGGCACATTAGAAAGTTGTCCAAGACTTGACATTTTTGTCAGCTTCAGCCCAATCTGAATGTCTTCTTTCCTCTTGAGAAAGCAAATGTCAAAAAACACAATTTTCAATGAATTTTTCTAATCTCCTTAGAAAGGTCTCATTGTAAAATCCAGAATTATCTTATTTTCAGAAGAGGAGCAGCCGGGACTAGAACTGGCACCCATATGGGATGCTGGCACCGCAGGCAGAGGATTAACCTACTGCGCCATGGTGCCAGCCCCATCTAGTTCCTTCTATATTAATTTCTTCAGTTTCAAGCAAACAACTTTTTTTTTTTTTTTTTTTTTTGACAGGCAGAGTGGACAGTGAGAGAGAGAGAGACAGAGAGAAAGGTCTTCCTTTGCCGTTGGTTCACCCTCCAATGGCCGCCGCACCACGCTGATCAGATGGCAGGAGCCAGGTGCTTCTCCTGGTCTCCCATGGGGTGCAGGACCCAAGCACTTGGGCCATCCTCCACTGCCCTCCCGGGCCACAGCAGAGAGCTGGCCTGGAAGAGGGGCAACCGGGACAGAATCCGGTGCCCCGACCGGGACTAGAACCCGGTGTGCCGGCGCCACAGGTGGATTAGCCTACTGAGCTGCAGCGCCAACCAAAGAACTTTCAAAACTACTGTTCTGCAATAGTTTTGCAGTTCTAGGCTTCTCCTATCTTTATAATTTTCAATTATTTTCTGTTCTTAGTTTCAAATTCAGTTTCAGCATTTTCTTTTTATTATGAAATTCCTTAGATATATTCTGACGAGAGAACTAAAGAAACAGAGAAATGGTCATGAAGTGAGTGCTTCTAACTAAGATTTATTGATGCGGGTGGTCAGCAAGCATTACTTCAGCTGCCACTATGCCATAGTGATGTGGAAGAAGGGGAAGCTGGGGCCAGTGTTGTGGCATAATGGGCTAAGCCACCGCCAGCAATGTTGGCGTCCCATATAGGCAACGGTTCAAGTCTTGGCCGCTCTGCTTCTGACCCAGCTCCTACTAATGTGCCTAGGAAAGCACTGGAAGATGGCTCAAGTCCTTAGGCCCCTGCACCCACATGGGAGACCTGGATGAAGTTCCTGGTTCCTAGCTTCAGCCTGGCCCAGCCCCGGCTGTTGCAGCCATCTGGGGAGTGAACTAGCAGATAGATCTCTCTCTCCTTCTCTCTAACTCTGCCTTTCAAATAAATAAAATAAATCTTTAAAAAAAAAAAAAAAGGGAAGGAAAATGAAAGCAGATGATAAAAAGATCCAATGACTTCTTAAAGATTTCTCAGCACACAAGAATGGTGTGTGCTGTAGTAACTGTGTGGGTGTCACAGAGTGGAAGTAAAGGCAAGAACTCTAAAAGCCATTAATAATGGCCTCTGAAGATCCTGATTTCCCTCCTTTTTGTAACTTCGAATTGTTGACAAGTGTCTTCCTCTCCAGACTGTAAGTTTCATGAAGGCAACCATCTATTGTCTAACTTTTTATTGTTGTAACTCAAGTTACTCAACATAGCACCTAGTGTGGTAGGTGTTCTATAAATAACTATCAATGAACAGAATAAAAAGGACCTGGACCAGACTATACATTCCTAGTAACAAGAGAAATATGCTCATTTCTTAGTTTTCTTTTTCTTCCTTCTTATTACAGATTCCATAATTCATCAATTCAAGTTAATTGTTGACAATTAACTAACTCAGTCCCCTCACCTTCTACCACACACACTTCCTTCTAATGTGTAACCTTGATTTCTTTTTTTTGTCTCCTTGTTTAAGCTATAAGTGCTAGAGAAAAACAGTGGTGCATCAGTTGACAGTTAATATTTAGAAGTACCGCACATAATTTTGCTGGGTCCCAATGCTGTTCAATTCTTCTTACTTGATAATTTAATGAATAATCGCTCAATCTCCATTTCCTTTATACTGAAATTAACCTCCCACACTCAGGTGTTTGCCTTATTATCCCACTAACAAAATACTCTCAAAAACCACAAAAATCTCCTAATTCCATTCCTGAAAGCTGTTATCTAAAGTTACTACCTCTAAGAACCTGTACTTTTAGACAATCTCAAGACCTGAGAGTTACATGCACATTAACAGAAATGAAATCTTCAAGTTTTCCCTCCTTCATAATATGAAGATGCATAGGGAAGGAGTTAAACATAACCATTACTGTAACTTTTTTTCCCAAAGCTTTCTTATTGGTACAAACAGAAACTCTTAACTATTAAGCAATAACTCATCATGGATCTCCCCCACCAGCTTCTGGTAACCTAGAATATACCTTTTGTTTTTTGGATTCATATAATCTATTTTTTTTTATGGTGAAAAATCATATATTTAGAATTAGCCAGCTGGACTCCGTTCAGATGATCCCAATTTTGTTGGGAACGTCCAGAGCATCATAGTCAGGAGCCAGCCGCACACACGCCTTCTTCTC